TGGCCCATTCATCAGCTCGATGTCAAAAATGCATTCCTCCATGGTCAGCTTCAGGAAACCGTGTATGCCAGCCAGCCTTCTGGATTCCAGGATGCCAATCGCCCTCATCATGTCTGTAAGCTCAAAAAGGCTCTTTACGGCCTAAAGCAGGCTCCTCGATCATGGTATCACAGATTTGCAGGTTTCATTCAGACTATTGGGTTCCACGGGTGCAAATCTGATACATCCCTATTCGTCTTCTCTCATACCACGGGGACAGCCTACCTCTTGTTATATGTTGACGACATAGTCCTCACTGCCTCGTCCTCTGCACTCCTTCAGAGCATCATTCAGAAACTCAAGGCTGAGTTTGCCATGACAGACATGGGTGACTTGCATTTCTTCCTCGGCATCAATGTTCATCACACACCCACTGGGATGTTCCTCCATCAGACTCAGTTTACCCACGACATCCTAGAGCGGGCAGGGATGGTCTCTTGTCGCCCCATCTCTACGCCAGTGGACACCAAGACGAAACTCTCCTCATCAGCTGGTACGGCACTCCCAGATCCGACGCTGTATAGATCCGTTGTTGGAGCCCTGTAGTACCTCACTTTCACTCGACCGGACATCACATACGCCGTCCAGCAGCTGTGCCTTCATCTCCATGCACCTAGAGACGCACATCTCGCGGCCATGAAGCGCGTTCTTCGCTACCTTCGTGGTTCGGCCACCCATGGCATTCACTTGACACGATCCAGTACAGATTTTTTGCAGGCTTATTCTGATGCGGACTGGGCCGGTTGTCCCGACACTCGACACTCCACCTCCGGTTACTGCGTGTTCTTGGGCGACAATCTGGTCTCCTGGTCGTCCAAACGCCAGGCCACCACTTCCCGATCCAGTGCAGAGGCTGAATACCGGGCTGTGGCCAATGCCGTTGCAGAAACTTCGTGGATCCGAATTGAAATCTTCTCCTTGAGCTTCAGCAGCCCCTACGACGTACCACTCTCGTGTTCTGCGACAACATCAGCGCCGTCTATCTATCATCCAATCCAGTGCAGCACCAGCGGACCAAGCACGTGGAGGTAGACATACATTTTGTCCGCGACAGAGTTGCACTCGGTCAGGTTCGCGTCCTTCATGTGCCTTCCTCTTCCCAGTATGCTGACATATTCACCAAAGGACTGCCATCTCTGCTCTTCCTCGAGTTCAAATCTAGCCTGGGAATTCGACCTCCTCCACATCCGACGTAGCCGGGAGAATGCTAAATATATTAATTATATTTACTATCTTTGTAATTATTATGTTACCATACCTGTATAGACTTCCTATTATGGCTCTCCTACTATGATTAGGATTGAAGCCTCTACTATATATTGATGTAACCTCTACACAATTATTGATTGAAAATATTTCTTCTACAGTGAACATTTACGTGAATAATGATTAATGAATAATGACTAAAAGTGTTACATTTGGAAAAAATACCTATAGTGCTGTTTCAGGAAATTCATTACTCCCTCCGTCTTAAATTATTTGCCACATTTGTAATCCCGAGACAAAATATCAAGTTTTTTCAATTCATTTTATTTACATATTGGTATAAAAATAAAAAATAAAATTTACATATACTCCCTCCGTCCGGAAATATTCTTCCCACTTTCCGTTTTGGTCCGTCCGGAAATATTCTTCCCATTTCCTTTTTTTAGTATACTTTTTAAGGATAAATATCAATAATACCCTTCTATTTTATCACAAATCTACTTTTTTAGTACTTTTTTAATAATAAAAGGATATTTAAAAGTTTATAGTATGTGCATTTTTGAAAATTTTACATTTTTTTACTATTCCTTAATAAGCGTGCCAAGTCAACACGGGAAAAATATTTCCGGATGGAGGGAGTAAAAAACTACATGAAAAGTTCTTCGAAATAAGAGGTGTCAAGAATATTTTATTTTATCAAATAACCAATGAAAATGTCGAAATAAACAAAAGTTCCCGCGACTGCTGAAAAAGCAAATGTTGTGAATATTTAGGGACGGAGGAAGTACTCCGTATGTTTTAGTGCTATTTAAATAAATTCCCCACAAATTATTTGGTTCTGAGACTGTTAAGTCGGTTTACTAAATTGTGCAAGAGCAATGCTAGGGGTACACCTTTCCAAAGGTGTACCCCATTTGTCCCACACGCCCTTCTCCACCACATATTTTTATTTACTTTTTATTTATTTAATTTTTTTTAAAATTCTTGGCCATTTATGTGGTAATGGAAGATATGGGGAACAAATGGGGTACACCCAAAACCCCTGAAATTCTTGAATTACATTAGAGCTTATTATGTGAAACACTGCTGTCGGGAATTGGGATAACCCTCGGGCAACACACTCCACATAACCGGAGACGGAGCTCCAAGAGAATTCCAGAATGGGGAATCGGAAAAGGGTCCTCTTATTATGCGGCGATTATGTTGAAGACCACCATGTTTGTACTCTAGACACATCAAACCAAACCACTGCAAAATGTCATCTATTTTTCCTTTAAGAAAAATATATAATAGTAATACAGAGTAAAAGTGAAGTGATTCGTTGCAGGTGATGGTTCCATTTCAAGCACTGCTCGCTTACGGAGTCGCCGTCGACGCCGTTTGCCCCGGTAAGAAATCCGGCGATATTTGCCGAACTGCTATACATCAGCTTGGTGGTCACCAGGTATGCCTTTTGTTTCGATTAATACTTCTATTCATTAAAAAAACCCTAAACCAGAAATTGTCTTTTGTTTCGATTAATAGTTCGATTTATTAAAAACCATAACCAGAAAACCTAATTTAGATGGTAATCCGAAATGAATGCAAGATTGTTTGATAAATTTCCATTTTAACTGGCTATTATACATAAATTTTACTTAAGGAGATAGAATTTGAAATGGTGGAATCTTTACACTGTATGAAGAAAGATTCAAATTATTCTTCTGATTGTTAGTTACTTGCTCTGCCCCTTCACATTTTTTTACTCCCCATTTTAGTAAGGTATGACCGTATGACTCTCTCGGAAGTAATCAAATATAGCTATAGTTTTAGAAAAAACCTTAGGGTAGTAAAAGGGATAGGAAATGAATCAGCTGATGTATCTGAATATACCATCATGCCTTTATGCAATTATTTCTTACTTTTGTTGTGTGAATGTGTGTCGCATCTGTAGACAGAGGATAAGATGCCTTCATGCCTTTAAATACAACTCTCTTCTTTTCTTTTTTTTTCCGAAAAGAAGTAAGGATTTAAACATAATTCCTTTTCCAATGAAGGGAGTATTTAGAAGTAGTTTTGCATAAGCACAATTGTTTCCCACTGCGAGCTTGTTACCAATCCAATATCGAAAGATTGAAGAGACGTAATTGAAATTATAAAGGTGTGAAATTAGAACAGTTAAGTGGCTGGATTCTTATTTTCTTATTGTGTTTTATCCCATGTGCCTAATAACTCTGGGGTACATACAAACCTTTATACTTTTTAACCAACATAAATGTGCAATTTCTTTCTCTCTGGTTTTTTTTCTCATTGTGTTGTTTTTAATTGAATAAGCTGCAGTAGTGCAGTCCTTAGAAGGAACATTTCCCTTCAGAAACTTACAGGATGTTAAAAGTTCTCAGTGTTCTAGTAGTTATGGGGAATCTACCTCTTAGAGTTATCTGATAGGGACAAGGAAAACACATGAGATAAATATTTAATAGCAATATTTTCTAGACTCTACTATTGAGTAAGGGTAAGGTCTGCAACTCTGTGTAGACCCTACTCTCATGGGATTCTACTGCTTTGTTGTTGTTGTTGTTGTTGTCTACTTTTGAGTGAGATATACTTGGCTTTTTTGGGGTTTGGTGATAGCAAATTTTATAGACGATACTGATCATGCTTTATTATTAATGACCCTAGACATATTCTGAGTCTCGGGGTCACAACTTCACCCTCAATGCAACATTTGATGAAATAGAAGTGTCAAAGTATGATGGGCTGGTCATCCCAGGAGGACGGGCACCAGAATATCTGGCTCATAATGAATCAGTTTTGGACTTGGTTAAACAATTTGTGAGCTCTAATAAACAAATTGCGTCTATCGGCCATGGGCAATTGGTCTTGGCTGCTGCAGATGTAGTTAGAGGCCTAAAGTGCACAGCTTGTCCTCCTGTTAAACATCTTCTTATAGCTGCTGGTGCACATTGGATAGAGCCAGAGACAATGGCTTTATGCATCGTTGATGGGAATCTAATTACGGGGGCAACTTCTGAAGGGCATCCTGAGTTCATCAGGCTTTTTGTCAAGGCACTTGGAGGCAAAATATTTGGTTCTGGCAAAAGAATTCTATTTCTCTGTGGGGTGAGTTACAGCCATTTTGTTTTCTCAAGGACAAAAAGAAAAGAAAAGTAGAGATTATGTTAAGGGTTCTTCTTCTAACTTTCGATTTTGGCTCCTTTTAGGATTTCATGGAAGACTATGAGGTAGCAGTACCGTTCCAGTCCCTCCAAGCACTCAAGTGCCATGTTGATGCAGTTTGTCCAAGGAAAAAAGCAGGTGAAAAATTTCCTACCGCTGTTCATGATTTTGAAGGTGGCGAACAAACATACAGCGAGAAGCCTGGCCATGACTTCACCCTGAATGCTTCTTTCGATCAAATCAGTGCGTCTATGTATGATGGGATTGTCATTCCTGGTGGCAGAGCTCCTGAATACTTGGCACTAGACAGCCGGGTTCTCAGATTGGTAAAAGAGTTTATGGAGTCTAACAAACCAGTTGCATCAATCTGTCATGGACAACAGATATTGTCTGCCGCAGGTGTTCTCAAGGTAACATGCTTCACATGAATTTCTTTGTCGCTAAGAATTGTCGTCTTTCCTTATCCTGCTCAGATCCTGGAATATGAACTGGAATATGTAATGCAGGGAAAGAAGTGCACTGCATACCCTGCTGTAAAGCTGAATGTGGTTCTGGGAGGGGGAACATGGTTGGAACCTGAACCACTAGATCAATGCTTTACAGATGGAAATCTGGTCACTGGGGCTGCTTGGCCAGGTCACCCGGAGTTTGTTTCTCAGTTCATGGCATTGCTTGGAGTGCGTGTTGCCTTCTGAACTCGGATGAAGGCGGCTTGTGGTGTGTTTTATTTGAACCCTACATTTCTTTTTTTCAGTGTTCAATTATATTGCTGCAAGTCATAAAGTTTGAAGAGAAAAACAATAAATATATTTATTAATAAATCCTCTTATTCAGAATAAAACATAAACAACGAATGATTCTGATGAATAATTGTGGTACAAGAGTACAGCAATTAATTAATCCTCTTCTTCAGAGTTAAAACACAACCAACACTGATGCTGATGAGTAACTCATAGTATTAGGTACCACTCCTGTATAATTGAGTAATACTACTCTGTAATTAGATTTAACAAGTTGGGCCTTCTGAAGTTTCGTCTTCCATGGACTTGAGGGCGACATGTTTTTCAAACCAGTTGATCATGTCTGCATGCGCTTCTGCCGCGCTATTGACAGCAAAAGGGTCGTTGTGGAAGTACCTAATGGTCCATCCGTGACAAACACCCGGGTACGTTTTCACACGGTGTTCAATCTGTTCATCATCAATCAAGTAGTGTAATTAATTATTAACTAACACGATCATTCGATCAAATATGTAATGCGTGCATCTTTTACTTGCAATGCATTTTATTCATAAATTACCTTATTAGATGACAAGATCTGATCAAAAAGATTCATCTGGTCTTGTGGCAAACCATTGTCGCGTTCAGCTCCCAAAATTGCTATTGGCACTTCAACCGCTGCACGCCACAAAAAACAGTTAATCTCTCATCCTCTTTGTCCTTGTGATGAATGAGTGAGTGAGCATAGCTTGGCTTCACAAATGACAACTGTTTATAGTACAATATACCTTTCATCTCGTCTGCCGTGACATCACTAGGATGCAACAGAACTGCAGCCTGAACTTCTTTTGTGTCATTTGCCACTTTCACTGCTACTTTTCCTGATCCATCAAGACAATCAAACTAAGGTATGTCTCTAAGTGTACAAATGTGTCAAATGATAATCTTGTGTCCAAAAACAATTGCTAATGATTTGAGTAAGTAGTTGACCAACCAACCTCCCCAGCAAAAACCTGCTACCCCAACCATAGATATACCCATTTCTTTCAAAGCAGAAATCACAAGTTTTGCATCTGCATATCCTTTTTCCTACAACAATACACAATACAAATATAATGTTCAGCCCTTGGGAACCGACATTGGGAAAAAAAGCCTCGAGTATAAATGTTCAACTAACTAACTCTATTTGTACAATGCATTTTGGGCAGTTTTCGTATTTAAAAAGAAAAAACTAACCGCGGGGTGATTTAGTTTCCAAGTAGCTTTGTCATATTTAGGGTTGCTTGGGTTAGCAGCGTCACCGTGGAAGAAATCAGGCGCCACAACTAAGAACCCAGCACCTGAAATTTTGTCTGCAACACTTCTGAAAACCAAAGTTTCATTCTATCAACACTTCATTTTTGTATCTGTTTCAAACATTATTCATATTCCTTTTCAGGCCCTCAGTCTCAGTAAAACAATTTCTCTCCCCATCCAGAATGAAGTATGGAGTAATTATTATTATGCCTACACTTAATATATATCTAAATCTATTCAACTTTTGATACATCTCAAAAATTATAATGATCAGTAAAAAATGAAGCAGAGCGAGTAGTTCCAAGTGTACCTGAAAACGGGGGGTTCATCGCCTGAAGAACAACGTCCAAAATAAAAGCAGCATCAGCATTAAAGAAAAAACAGAGCACTTTTGTTTAATTTGTTTTTACTATTCCATTAAAAAGAAGTTTTGGTAAGCTTAGTTACCATAGATATCAGAGATCATAAGAATCGCTTTCTTGGAATCGGAAGGACCGGTGACATAGGCTCTGAGGCCACCAAGCTCTGTGACCATCCCGGCTCCACATGAGGGACAGAAAGTCGGCGGCAGGGTATAACACGGCGGCAGACCCGCCGGAGGTGGCGGCGGAGGCTGGGAGGAGCTTCCGGCATTGACTGCCAGAGTTGAGAGAAGAAGAAGCATCAATCCTATCATCTTCCTCGTTACTCCGTAATTAGTTAATTAATTGCCTCCCCCCGCCCAAGTTGATCGCGTATTTATGTCCGTGGCATGTTGACAAAACTGGTCAAAGTAAGACTATTGTGAGATTTCAAAATTATCACCACTTTAGCGCAAGAAATTAACTCCAACATTTTTACGCCTAATTTGGGTCTTATTTTTGTTTGTGGACAAAAAATACATATGCCTAAATATAACTATTCTCTTTGTTTTGTAGTATTTCTCTAATTTTGATTTTTTTTGTCAAAATTAGTAAATTTTGACTTCAAACTAAATAAAAATAATATTAGATATTGATACAAAATTAGTTTTATTTGATCTATTATATCAAGATATTATTTTTTCATCTAATTAATATATATTTTATATAATTATAGGTTAAATATTAAAAATAGTTGACTGGAAAAAGTCAAAACTGGATAAATACTCTGAGACGGAGGTAGTATATTATTTTTATTCTATATTAAATACTCCTTACGTCTCCAATTTGATTACAAATTGGGGTTTACGAGGATAAATATCTCACTTTTTGAAACCATTTTATTTACAAATCGACATATCGATAAGAAATAAAAATTACGTATTAAAAAACTACGTCAAAAGTTCTACGAAACAAAAGGTGACAAGAATACTTTATTTTATCAAATAGTTAATAAAATCGCGTAAACAAATAAAAGTTATCGAGAGGAGAGAAAAAAATTGTAATTAAATTGGGGACGGAATAACTACAAAAATAGATAAAATTTGATTTTGTAAATAGTAAATAAGAAGATAAATAATTTTTTGACAGTATATTTTTTCATTTTTTACACAAAAAAAGGTGGCACTGTTTGTCCAGCTTGACTCGAAAAAGTCAAACTGGATAAATAGATTGGGACTGAGTCATGGAGGGATTAATTATTGAGTACTTGAAATAATTGCGGGAGTAATTTATTCCACAATGTTCGACGGCAACTCCGGCGGTAATAGTGGACAGTTGTCTGTGGCACCTTGCAGCCAATAGAGGAGGTAGGCTTTGTGGTGGTGGCTTTGACCTGTCTGATGCCGGAAAAAACTACTCCCCTCCTAAAAAAGTCACATTTCCTTTTAAATTATCACGACAACTTTTGTTTATTTGTATATTTTCATTTTTTATTTGGTAAAATAAAATATTTTTGACAATTTTTATTTTGAAAAATTTTTCATGTAATTTTTAAATATGTAAATTTTATTTTTTCATTTCTATACCAATATATAAATAAATTGAAGCGAAAAAACATAATATTTTACTTCATTTTACAAAATGTGGCAAACATTTTTTGGACGGATCGGAGAGAATATAAATTAAGATATGATACTCTTTGTTTAACTATTTTCCCCAATATAAAAAAGATATTCAAATGAAATACTTTCGTGATATGTATTCCAAATAAGTATCAAATATATCAAACGGTATAGTATTTTGTAAAGTTTTACCAAAAATATGAAATAAATCTTTTTAGAGCGATTAATAGTTAAACTATAAAACTGTTATTTTTGTAAAATAGTACTTACTAATACTACTTGGTATTAATGATTATTTATTTCTTATTACTTTGTTCTTTTAAACTATAAAACTGTTACTTTCTTATAGTTTTAAAACTAGTTATAAGATTATAACGATTCAAACTGGTTTAGAGCGAGATTCATTAATGGTCCAAAGAGCTGGATCAAAATGATCAATCACCGGTTCGTTTCACGATTAGAACTGACCAGTCTAGTCTAATTTTCAAAATTATGGTTAATAACTTTTGTTATGTACTCCATTAATCTTTTCATAAAATAAAAGAGACATAAATCATCATTTATTTTGTAGGACAAATAATGTAGGAGAGAGGAGATACAATTTTATGTTTTATAATGACATTTCTTTGGTTAATTTCTCAAAAAGTTTCATATTTGTCAAAAGCTCCCATCATATCCTTCCTTTTTTATACCGCATATCCTTCCCTTAATTGCTCTCGTACAGTCGTACATCCTCATCTCGAGTTATTTTATAAAATACGGAGTAAAAAATAGTGTTGAAATGTTATGATAATCAATTATTCATTCATTAAAAATAAAATACATATAAGGCCTGATATATAATACTCCCCCTGTCTAAATATATCACACTTTATGTTAGCCCATGTATTTATGTCAGACCATGTATTTTTTTTCTGTATCATGGACTTAAATGAATAGGCCCAATTGTACATGTATATTTATCCCCTCATTGTTTAATGAAATCTCAATTCACATTTTATCTCTTTTAATTGGGGGTGGGCATTTGGGTCCAGGAACCGCGGGTCGGAACCGAACCGCCAGGTTCGGGCCGAGTTAGGTCCGGGTCATCTTTTCAAAAATTTAAAACGGTCCGGGTCGGTCCGGTTCCAATAGATTTTAGGGTCGGTCCGGTTCCCCATTTTGAAATTGTTTGGGACCCGGACCGGACCGTTTTTTAAATACTAATATTATTTTTAATATTTTTTTAGTAAATACTCCCTCCGTCCCGCTATATTCGTCTACTTTTGACTTTTGGAATTGTTCATCTAAGCACCTTGACTCATCAAATTCTCTCAATGTGTAAGCCTAAATATTGTCATGTGTAATCTTGTTTGATTTGTCTTAACATATAGATTATTAATATATAATTTGTATAATTTTTTTATATACAAATTACAAGATAAAATTGATTAAAGAAGTGTATTGGATGATGTGTAAAAATGAAAGTGGACAAATACTCTGGGACGGAGGGAGTATACCCCTATTCCAATTAATTTTAGTAACTCTTTCGGTCCTTCCATATTCCAATCGCAGTGCAGAACCGCAGAAGTGAGAAAACCCAGAGTCTGAACTCTGAGCGCGATTCTCAGCCTTCACCTATTCGCCTCCTTCGCCGATTCGCCGGTTCTCTCCAATTGCAGACAAATTCTTTTGATTCTTTCCAATCGGGCAGCAGATCGAGAATAGCCGACCTTCTTGTGGTACTGCCGTACTGGTATGTTTCTCTTCTCATCTCATCTCTTATTGAAATATTCACTTTTTCATGTTGTATTCAAATTTAATATTATCCAATTAGACTACTCTTTAGAAACAAGTTGATTGTTGGTTTGGGATACTCATATTGAAATATTTTTGTTGAAAAATTTCTGTGTTGACTTATCTATGTTGAAAAATTTATGTTAAAAAATTTATGGGGTGTACACTTTACTCTCATGCCCCTCTTTTTTATTGTTTTTTTTTATTATTTATTTCTCTTTTTTGAACTTTGAAGGCATTATTCTATAATTTCTATTTGTTTTGAAGAATGTTAGTATTATGATAGGTTCGGACCCGTTGACCCGTGGAATCGGCCCGTTTCAAACAAGCCGGGTTAGGTCCGGTTCCAATTTTAAAATTTTGAAAACCCGTTTCGGCCTGGACCGTTTTAATAAAAACAAGCCGAGTCCGATTTATATAAATTTGGACTCGGACCGGCCCGTGCCCACCCCTACTTTTAATATGGTATCGGAGCACTGCGATCGTTCGTGTGTTTTGTTCGCACGTTACATGCGGATGCTCGTCTGTCATCACCAGCGAAGGCTCTGGTAATCGTGGACTGTCATCACCTTCGTCCGCTTCTCTTTCTGGTCATCAGTTTGTTGTCTCGTACATCAGCCACTGCCCTTGCACGCCTCTGTTAGTCATTCCGCCAACAATTTGTCAATGCCTTTGCACGCCTCCTACAGCAACCACAGCCCAAGGCTGTTCGTCAACAATTTGTCATGGCTTCAGATAGCTCTTCAAACCCTAAAAAGACAAGGTTGATACATGATCTGTTGTCTATTTACTATCTTCATCCGTCCGAAGGTCCCGATAATTCTCTCACTAAATATCTCCTTAAAGGTGATAACTTTGATATTTGGAAAAAGGCCATACGAAATGCACTTGGTGGGCGTGACAAAGCAATCCTCCTCACGGCCAATGATGTTAACAAACCAGATGATGAGCACGAGGTATCGACATTGTACGTTAATAATCAAATTATCTGTAGTTGGACTTTTAACAGTGTCGATGAATCTATCCAACCTAGTATTGTTTCACACTCGGTTGCATATGAATTATGGGAAA